TGGGCAGGGGCGCGGGCGCAGGGGTTCCCGGGGCGCGGGCGCGCGCGATAATCTGCGTACACTCGTCGATAACCGTCTGGATGCGAAGCACCGACGCGGCGGTGAGCACCTGCAGAGCTTCGCCTTGCGCCACCACGAGCGAGCCGCTGTAGAGGAACTCGACGAGCTGGCGCACCGTCTGCGCGGGCACCACGGGCGGCACGCGGATCTCAGAGTGGCCGAGCAGCAGCTTGTCCTGGAAGAAGGGCGAGCCGGCGGCCAGCACGCAGCGGTGTGCACGCAGCGAAGCCTCGCGGATGCGCACAGTCACATCGCAGAAGTGCCCACCCAGCCTCTGCCCATTGAGGGTCTCCAGCAGGGACCGCGAGAAGTTCTGCAGGTGGATGTGGTGCACAGCCTCCGCTGCCGCCATCTGCACAGGAGGAGGGGATGAAGCCTGGAAGAGGCCAGCCGAGGACCTCCCTCTGCCCTAGAGTCACTGTCCCCTCATCCCTTATTGCAAGACAGTCCCCAAGGGCACACCACAACCCCAGGTTTCGCAGACCCCATCCCTTCCCAGCGGCCCCTCACAAACTCCGTTCCCAACATATGACAAGCCAGGACTCCCCTGCCTTCCAGGTCCTCTGCAGCGCTTTCCACCTCCGCAACCCCCAGCACACTCCTGGGAGAGGGTTGGGGATACTAAAGTCTGACCCCTCCCAGCCTTGCTCACTGCCCCGGGAGGGTCCAGGGCTTGACCTTCCCTATCTTGGCTCACCCTCCTACCCCTTTTCCAATTCCAGTATCCGTAAACCTCCCCCTTCCAGGGTGCAGCCCTGTGGAGAAGAGGCCAGGACCTCCCATCCAGAACTGGGTGACCACAGCAGACCTTGTCGCAGAAATACTGGCCCATCTCCACTCAACTGGCTTCGACTCCTCCCACTCTTGGCTCCTTTTTGGGTTTCCCTTGCCACACCCTCCAATCTAAGGCCCTGTGCATACCCAAGACTGCTGTCTCCCGAACCCGTTTACGTTAACTAGTATACAGGCATACTAGTTAGTCCTCGCAGAGGGTGGTCCGCTTCTGGGCAGAGCAATTCGGGTGTGCCTGGTCACAAAGGGCTGATGGTAGAAGCAGAGCCTTAGCCTAGCAGGTGCCCCACAGAAGACGAATACATGGTCCCTGGCAGACCCTAGCCCAGCCGGCAGGGAGGTGCCTCTGCAGCCCGGCTTCTAAGAATCTCGAAGGGGCCGGTGGAGCCCAAGATGTGGGTGTGGCATGGAGAGGGGGCGTGTGTGGTATGAGCAGGGGTGTGTGACTGGATGGGCGTGGGTGGAGCAGTAGCTGCTGCAAGACTAGCATGGCTGAGCAATCCGGATGCTTCTTTATGAACCTGTGGCCGAGTGATCCGGGCACTGCCCACCCTCAGCTACCGAAGAGGAGAGGAGGTAACCCCTAGAGGACTCTGGGAATCTAAGAAGCTCTGCTACTCCACCCATCAAGCAGGTGAGCCCGCGATTCCCCCGGCCTCCGTTTCCTCTTCTATCAAACAAGGGATGGGACATTCGACTTATCCCCCACCCAGACTACACACACTAGAAGTCTAAGGGAGGGACACAGGACTCACCCTGAGACCTATCCATTCTCCACCAGCCTGTCTCTCGCGCGGGATCACACAGCCGGAGTAGGGCACCACTTAATCCTGCCCCTACACCCTAGAGGTCTACTGGGGTCTCAGACTCAACCTCTCCGGCTTCTTATTCCCAAACTGTCTTCCCTTTGCTCCAACCAGACCCCTCCCTTTCTTGCACGACCCACATCTGACCCCTCAGGCCACTTCGCACTCCACTGCCCCCGTGACCGCTGGCTTGGGCTGATGAAGTGATCTCCTTGCTGGTCTCCTTCGCGTCCCCCACCTCCCGGTCCTATTCCCCGCGAGGCAGCCAGAGGGAGCCTGTTCAGACCTAACAGATCCTAACCCTCCTCTGCTCAGAGCCCTCTAGGCGGTGAATTAATTCCTTGCAATTCCTCAAACCCTTTCCCATCTTTATTCACCTGGTATCTGAAGGTGTTCAAATCAGTATCCTGGCGACAGGGTCGGAAACCTGTGCATCAACCCGCAGGGCTTGAAACCTTACTTTTCCGACCCACCCCCGCCCTGCTCCCTGGCGGGCTCCGATTCCTCAGTCCAGATGCGGCAGGACCTTCTTGGATGCCTTAGAACAAAGGCCCACCTTCGAGGCCCCGTACCCAGGCCCACCTTCCCGGGTCTGGCGCTGCATACTCGCTGCCACGCCTTCGCTCACGCCATGCACTTTGCTCTGAGCACCCTCTCCCATACTCTGCGCCACTGCTTGCGCTCGACCCTGAGCCCAGAACCCGCCCCCCATCCGCTATGGCTGCACCCGCTCCAGCCCCGGCCAACATGTTTCCCGCCTCCGCACCCTTGCCCGCGCTGTACCCCGATCCTGCAGCGCCCTCTCGCGTTCGCAGCGTACGCTCCGAGCCTAACGCGGGCGTCCCTGCCTTGGCACGCCCCGGCCTTCCCGCCGGCCCTGCGGCAGGGGGATGCCCGCCCGACCCCACCTCCGGCTCCTCCTCAGGCACCCAGCCGGGCCGTGACCGCCTCCTGCTCACCAACGCCAAGGCCGCACTTCCGGGCCGCGACGCCTCCGGAACCGAAGACGGCGACCTCTGCTGCGCAGGGGAGCACTAGGACAGAGCACGTTTCCGGTGTTTCTACGGAGATAAACCGCCGCCTCCAGGTCGCACTTCCCGCTCTCGTGAGAGTAGGAAACAAAGTCGCAGATGATGGAGCCGCAGCGGCGCAATGAATCTCTGGGCTGGAGCACGCTTCCGGCGTCGCCCTGGAGACCAAAGCGGGGGCGGTGCCTGCGCTGTCAATCGAGCCACGCCCTCGGGCGTGCACGGCCTGGGTGGAGACGGCCCGAAGTAATGGAGGACTGGGTGTCGGTTAGTGACAGAAGTCCCCCGACCTGCCCGGCTGGTGTGAACCCCACTGCTACCCGGGAAGGCGGCCTTTCCCCCATAACACGGGTGAGAGCAGGAGTAGGGCTCTCCCCATCGCTTGTCGGACTCCACCCCGCGTGAGGCGCAGGCGAGATACCCCTGCAACCGACCCCCCAGGATCGCGGGCTGCGGGTGGGATGGGGAGCGGACCCCATCCGGCCCAGGCGCCCGCCTTCTGCCTCTGAGCCTGGGTCCCGAGGTGGAGGCAACCTGACTCGATGTCCCCCACCCCCACCCTCAGACCATCAGACGCACCTGCCCTGGATAAAAAGTGAACAAATGAATGGATATTGAACTGAATGTCTCCCGTGTGCCACACTCTGGATCAGAGCTCAAAAAAGTAAGGAAATGTGGATGAGATGGCGTTGTGAAAGGCCAGAAACCAAACACCAGAAGTCACCAGAGGGGACAGAATGTTAGGAAGAGGACTTGCTGGTTCAGTTAGTTAGAGCGTGGTGTTATAGCACCAAAATCAAGGGTTCGGATCCCCCAGGTCAACGTTTCAGACCCTCATACTGGCTAGCCGCCCAGAAAAAACAAAGCAAAAAATACCCAAGCGTAATGGCTTGGCCTCATTGTCTTTGTTCAGATTCTGAGAGCTGCACTGTGGCCTACCCCATCCATTGGGTCTGCTCCCACCAGCCTCAACAACCCCTTCCTCCTCTCTGTCACTTCTCATTCCTGTTTCCACCTTCCATGTGCCCACCTTGAAGCTGGCCCACGTAGTTTGTCTTTAGCACCTTCTCACACAGCTTAGTTGCCACCACCTCCTCCAGGGCCCTCCCTGACCTCAAACCGCCCCCCCCATCGTGTGTCACAGGGTTTGTGAGGGTGGGGGTTCATCTGTTTCTTTCATCTTGGCACCTGCTGCTGCTACAGTCAGGAATAGCCACTTCACCCTGCTCTGGGCTTCCAATGAGCTTGAACGTGTAGGATTCTGGAACACTGCAAGTCAATCTGATATGGGGGGTGGGGTGGGGGTTGGGGGGCCAGAATTCTAAAAATGCCCCCCTCCAAGATTTCATGCCCAAATCCCTGGAAGCTGAAAATATGATAATATTACCTGTGAATAGTTACACTACATGGTGAAATAGGTACACTCATTCCATGTACGACCCCTCTCTATGCCGCACCCGCATCCTGGGCTCCACAGGCCCTTCAAGATTCCTGGAAGCCGGGCTGCAGAGGCACCTCCCTGCTGGCAAGGCTGGGGTCTGTCAGAGACCATGTATTAGTCTTCCGCGAGTCACCCGCTAGGCTAATGCCCAGATGTAATTAAGGTTACTAACCAGCTAATCTTAGAATAGGAGACGACCGTGGATTACAGTGATGTTTCACTTAACTGCGACAGAGATACTTTCTGAGAGATTTGTTAGACAATTTCGTCGTTGTGCCAGCATCACAGAATGTACTTATACAAACCTAGATGGTATAGCCTACTACACGCCTAGGGTATATGGTATAGCCTACTGCCCCTAGGCTACAAACCTGTACAGAACATTTCCGTACTGAATACTGTAGGTGACTGTAACACAGTGGTATTTGTGTACGTACGTTACTGGGCACAAGTCTGCCTGCCCCTTACAAAACCCTGGCTTGGCTCACCAAAATCTGTTACCCCAGGGCATTCAGTTCCCGGCTTAGGCTTCAAAATCTTGTTGGGGAACCCAAGTCCAGCTGCCTGCCCAAAACAAAAACAAACAACTCAAAAGTCAAATAATGGTGAAAATAGAAGTCAGCTTTCATTCAGGAATACCAGTGACCTGAGGAGAGATGTTGGGCTAACCCACCTCTCCGGTAACCCTGAAGGAGAATGGCCAGACTAAAGCCATCTCAAAGGCTCAGATTTACTGAGGGGTTTTTAAAGAGGGGGTTGAAGGAGTGGAATGTGAGAAATGAAAAGCAGGAGGGAAGGGGACATGAGCCACAGGGTCTCTGTGCAAGGAGCCAAGTGCAAGGTCTTTCCAAGGCTCCATCTGTTTTATGTTCCCATCCTTGGTGTTATTTTAGGGTCCTGCTGGAGGGGTGGAATCAGCATAGCTTTATTGATGCCTTCCTTGGTTTCTCAGGGTCTGGATAGTATGTGTCCCATGGCAGGTCTGCAGTTCCAGGTTGACTTGAAAACAACTTTACATTTATGTAAATAACGCCCTCTTGCCTCATAACCAAGTTTGAAAATATCAAATAACTATGGGAAAAAAGGGAGATCAGAAAAATATGTGCTAGGAAAAAAACTGTGTCTTTTAAATTTTCCTATAGCCCAGGTGGTTTTAGGTCCCCACATGGCTTCAGTCCTGCTCACTCCAACATGTAAACATATCTAAACATAGAAAAGGAACAGCAAAAGGGCCAGCCCGGGGCTCACTCGGGAGAGTGCGGTGCTGATAACACCAACGCCACGGGTTCGGATCCTACATAGAGATGGCCGGTTGGCTCACTGGCTGAGCATGGTTCTGACAACACCAAGCTAAGGGTTGAGATCCCCTTACCGGTCATCTTTTAAAAAAAAATTTAAAAAAAAAAAGAAAAGGAACAGCAAAATTACTGTATTATAATCTTATAGGACCACCATCATATATGTGATTTGTTGTTGACTAAATGTTATGATGCAGCACATGACTGTATTTGGGTAGATCTGAGGTAATCACAAGGGTCCTTAAAGGCAGAAGAGGAAGGTGGAGAAATTTCAAGTGGGAGAACTGTTTCAGAGGCTTTGAAAGTGGACAGGGCCTCCAGATAGAATGCGGGGATGGCGGGGGTGGGGTGGGGTGGGGGTGTGTGTGCGAGGCAGGGTTGTGGAGAATCCAAGTTCCTCAGACAATTGCCAGCAAGAAAACAGGTAACTCAGTCCTACAACTGCATGGAACTGGTTCTGCCCACAACCTGAATGAGCTGGGAGGCAGATTCTTCCCCAGCACCTTCAGATAAGAGACCAGCCTAGCCCTTGATTGTGGCCTTTGTGAGACCTGGAGCAGAGGATCTATCTGGGCTTTTGACCCACAGAGTGGTGAGCTAATAACTAGATGTTGTTTTAAGCCACTGAGTTTGTGGTAATTTGTGGCTATAAAAAACAAATTCAGTACTCACTCATATGTGGGAGAGAAAGAAGGAAGGAAAGAAAGACCGCAGTAGAGCATTGGACTTGCAGAGGGAGAGAACATTCTATGGGCTATAAAGTGGAGTTGGGGGGAAGCGGGAAGGGGGAGTGAGGTTGGGGATAATTGGGTGGAGGACACAGGGTACAAATGCAATTTGTGGTTATGGTGTACAGCCAGTATGAATCTGGCCCCCACATCACGGGCAAGAGGGGTGACAATCAGCTTTGTATCTCATGAATATTCCTAACCAATTAAAAAAAAAATTCATCTGGTGAGACCCAAGGCCTCCACACAGCGTCCGATAAATGCCACTGTTTGTTCTCCCATCTGACGAATCGTTCTTTCCGAATGCTTCATTTCTGCCTTACCAGCCTTTATCAGGCACTTCGAGATTTCATTCCGCAGGGAGAAGCTCTTACTTCCCCCATCTTACAAGCAGAGGGGCTGTGGGTGAAAGAGGAAACCAACTGTCCAGATGCATGGCTGGAACAGGCCCAGCTGATTTGGGGGAAGATCGAAAGGACAGGTGGAAGGTCATGTTTGAGGGCTCTGAGGAAGGAGATGGCCCTCCCTTGGGCAAGACAGGTGAGGGAACTGTGGGCTGAGCTGCGGGATTGTGGTGTGTGACGGGAAAGCATGTCCCATGGTATGTTTAACGGGGTATGAGGAAGACAGTGGACCTAGTAGGGTGGCAAATGCGGGAGACCCAGCAGGCAGCAATGGATGCTCTGACCTCAGCAGGGAAGGGCAGAAGGGGGTAGATTCAGGGTGGGAAAGAGAGGACATGGGTGGCTTCAGAGAAGGTCTCAGCCGCAAGAGGTAAGGGCGAGATGGAGGTGGAGGACCTGGCCCAGGAGGCTAGGATGGGTGTAAAGGGAGAAACCCAAACCCTGACCCCTCTGAAGCAGCCAAGGGAGGTAAGAGGTATGACCTCCAGAGTCGCAAGCCTTGAAAAAAACACTTATTTTGCTTTTCTCTCCAAAGACCTATCACAGTGTTTGTGTGAAGCATTTGGAGGAATAAATGAGTATAGCTGAGAACACTGATTTAACAAGTCAGAGAAGGAGTGATATGGCCTGAAAACATTGAAAATTCCAGGCTAGACACCACCAGCTAAGGAGCAGGCACCACCAGCTGGCCATGAAGGGAAGAAGCTGTAAGCTCACAATGACCACAGACATGAAAGGAGAAGAAATTGAACTCCAAGGTGACTGGGCCTCCCCCGGTGGCCAAGGCCAGACTCCTCTAACAGCCCCCAGTCAGGGATCTTCCAGGGCCCCCTCAGCCATGCCTGCTCCCAGTTCAGGCAATGTCCCAACCTCCCTCTCTCCTCCATCACTAGCAGGCCAACTTCTTTTTTTTTTTTTTTAAAAGATGACCGGTAAGGGGATCTTAACCCTTGATTTGGTGTTGTCAGCACCACGCTCAGCCAGTGAGCGAACCGGCCATCCCTATATGGGATCCGAACCCAGGGCCTTGGTGTTATCAGCACCGCACTCTCCCGAGTGAGCCACCGGGCCGGCCCGCAGGCCAACTTCTTATCTAGGGTCTCCCTCTGTGGCAACCACTATCCACAAACCCAGCCCCGTCCTAGTGGGTCTGGGCAGGTTCCATGATCCAGGCACATACCTCAGTGTGCCAGAAGCTTACAACTGGCCCAGGGGGCAAACACTAAGCATATATACCCGCAGGAATTTTTTCTGGTACAAGGCAGATGGGGGTGGCGGCCGGCAAAGCAAGTAACAGCAGTGAGGGGTTGAGCCTTCCTGGTGGGACAGAGAGGGAACCAGAGCCATGTGGAGCTGGGAATGCGCAGTGACAGGATCCTGTTTACACTTGAGAAATGCTTCCAAGGCTGCAGTTTAGGGAGGGGGCTGGAGAGGAGGCTTAGCCCCAGACCCTGGGGGAGGTGGTGGAAGCAAAGGGTGGGACCAAGCAAGGTGCCTTTGGAATTTACCAAAAAAGTAACAGCCCAAAGAGGGACTAAGGGCCTTCAACAAAGAGGGGTGGGGCAGAAAATATTTGCGTGAGAAAAGGTTTAATGCGCTTTCATATGTAAAAGACAAAGAAGAATATCCTACCAGTCCGTGAGGAAACAACTTGGGGAGGAAAAGACCTAAATTGAAACAATAATCATAACAAGGCAACAACCACTGTCCCTTCTCCAGAATTCGAGCACCTCGGCCCAGCATTGCACCCTTG